GGGAAAAGTAAAACCCCAAACCAGACTCCAGGGAAATGCAGCTGTCACTGTACAGTTTACCCAGGATTTTAGGTTAACGCCTCCATTCTTCAAGTGACAATTTCTTAGGTAAGTATAAAATCAGCTTTCCCTCTTTTTCCCAAAGACAGGGTAACCCACAGCATAAAAGCTGCTTGTCCTGAGGCAAAGTCATGGCACACCGAGGTCATCATTTGCCCTTCTTTTGAGGAATTTCTTGGGCTCTGATATCAGGAAGACAGACTGGAATTAACGCCCCAAATTGTGAGAATGCCCCTATTTGAAAGTGTTTAGTAGCCAAGGAGGAAGGCTGTGTAGTTGAGGCAACCAGGTGCTCCCACATAAAGATTGGTTTCATTAAATCCAAAATACACCAGAGTCCAGTTTGACCTAATATTCAGGGTGGGGGAAAAACAGTAATTACATCAACATCAAGCTATTACCTGTTCAAGGGCATAAGTGCTTAGTTCATTAGCAACTCAGACAAACTTGTTTTGTAAGCTCCCTACATTAAATTTGAAATTTCCCTGCCCTTACAAATTAAACTAACAATTTCTGACACAAAGGGAAAGTCCAGTAAGACAATACAAACGTGAGTATATAGACAAGAAAACTTCCAACCTGCTCAAATCCAATATGTTCTCTGCCACTCACAATAACAAGATTACCCAGGGCACCAAGTCAACCTAATGTCAATATTATTCAATTCATTTGAATAAATTATTTAAAAAAAATAAATAAATAGCAGTACTCCAGGTTTCTTCAATCAGAGAGCAAAACCTACAGACCTCTACAAACATATATTTTTCACACTTCCAACAGGAAGTTAAAAGTGAATTCCCGTGGTTTAGTTCTACAGAATAAGTTCAACATGTCACATTAAAAACACTGCTCTTTAATGCTGGAAGTGGGGCTTTATAAAGATTCTGCCACAGGACCATGAACAGCCAGGAGGGCACTCGGATTTCCACCATCCTTCAGTAGCTCAGGAGATGGATGACCACACCCAATTAATTTACTTGAATCTCTATTCCAACTTTCCTCCTCATTAATTAGGAGCTGAGGTTCACAGAGATGACAGTTCCTGGCACGCAATGCCGACGATGACTTTAAGTGGTGCACGCTCTGTGATCAAAATGGAAAGTCACAATCTGTGCTGCCCATGTAAAAATCAGAGATTTCCTTCTTTCTACCCAGAGGGAGCCTTACATTTAGCAGATCAGTATTTTCTAAAACAGGTTTCACTCAATGAACTAAAACAAAGCTACCACAGTGATTTCAGGGGAACTCACAGAGCTGCCCCTGGAAGAACTGATGACCAAGCAGGCACCAAGAAATTGCATCATGTTTATTACACAGCACGAAGCCAAAGGCAATCAGATCCTTCTGGTTTAATCAATGGCCTTCAAATAAGGAAGCAGTTTGAAAATAATAAGCATAAAACAAAACACTTTTTTGGGTTCACTTTTTGAATTTTTCCCTACTGTGTAGAAAACCTGAGCATGTGCTGAAATATAATCTTATAAAAATCTACTTCTTGAATACCTCTGATACCAGAATGGCACTTTTATTCAAACTCAGTTTGCCTTAAATGCTGTGATGGAAGTGCAGAGGGGTCCTGTTAAAAGACTCTGAACTGTCTTCAAACAAAAGGCCTGTTTCCTATTTAAAAACATTAACCAACATATAAATAAAATAAATAAAACAAATAAAATTTAGTGTTCCAGGAACACCTCCTCCCCTGCCTTTTCTTTTAACCTGGATGTTGCAGCATTTCACGAGGCTGCAGAACAACCTGGGACAAAAACCTGTAAATGGAGGAAACAACTGGTCTGTGTTCCTGGTCCAAACTCACTGACCACTGCTCTGCCCCTGCTCCCCACCAGCCTGGGGCCACCCTGCAAACTCCAGCCCAGCTCCATGCAAACAGGGTCTTCCCTTTAAGGCAAGACAGCCTATTACTCAGAAGAGACAGAGCCCTGTTTTTCTGAAAGACCCCCACATTCTGCAACACGTTACGAAACACAAATTTAACAGCAAAAGCCTGATACAAGATTCATATTTAGAATGCACACAAGTAGAAATATCTCATCTTTAAAAGCTTTGACTTGCAAAGATCCTTTTTAACTGATAATGATGTAACAAAGCAAAAGGGAAGTACTTAGAGAGAATCACTGTAAGTAATACATACACACAAATTAAATACATAGAATTAGTTTGTAATCTGAAAGCTCTAGTAGGGGGAACACAGAAACAACTCAGCTCAAACTCTCCTCAAATCAGATGCCAAAGGAAGTTATGTGATGAGTTAGAGGGTAGATAAATCTGGATTTTACAAATTATACACTAATGTAGATATGAACAGCTTGCAGCCTCTCTGTGAGTGCATGAAAGAACTGTCAGGTATTTGTATGAAGTTCAATGTTAAATGAGAGTTTGTGAACAGGAATTTACATTTAAAACACACCCTATATTGTTGCATTACTCCCTGAGAGCTCAGAATTAGCCACCTACCAGAAAGAACTCAGTTTTAAAGATATAAACAGAGAGGAACAAGCATGGTGCATTATCTCTCTCCACAAACAATCCACTATCAATGTAGAAATACCAACATGTGTCCTCTAATAAATCTGGTACAAGATGCATCAAACTAATGACCACTGGCAAAATAAGCTGCATCACTCTAAGCACTCCAGCATTCCAAACACTTACTGAAAATACACAAGCAGACCCTGGAGGACTGACTGGAGCCCACTTATCCTCACCTCACACAAGCACCAGGAACCTCAGGCAGCAGCTCCATTCCCTGCTAACTTTAAACTGTGCTGTGTTCCACAGGGGAGGTGAGGAGTGTCCCCACTGAGCCAGAACCCTGAGCTGCTTCCACTATCACCATCCCATAAGGTGGGCAATGGGATCTGAAATCCTCCTGGACAGAGAGTGGAGCTGAGCACAGCCAGAGTGAGTCCTCCTGCCAGGAGGGAGCCCGGACCAGCACCACCTGTTTTGCTGTTTTTAAACAAACACAGAGCTGCTACTCAACTGTGTGTGCAGGCCAGGCACTCCACACAGCTCCAGTGCTGGAGCACAGTCCCAAGGAAAACGCTCTGGTTGGGGACAGCAGACCCAGCACCGAGCTGCTCAGCTCTGCTCAGCCTAAGAAAGCAACCAGGGAAAACCTGGCTGCTACCAGGGCTACTAAAGTTTGGAATTACCACAGTCGTAGGGTTAGGGAATTAATTCTACTCACGTTCCTGGAGGAAAGGGAGGAGGGGAAGACACGAAGAGATAGATATATACACATAAAACAAAACTCTGAAGGCTTAGTACTTGCCTAGTGTCCTCCTTCCTTCTCCTTCCCACGCAAACACGAGTGCTGCTCGATGGCATCCAGCACCTACAGCGAATCATTTCCCCGTGTCATTAAAAGGACAGAGACATCTGCTCACACACACCAGACCTACGTCATCGCTTCCAACTCCGCTCAAAGCCGACAGAAACGCGGCTCCCTTTTCCCTTCAATTCGCCGGGTCACATTCCCGCTGGCAGACGGATCCCGGGGTGATCCCGGCGGAGCAGCGCCGTGCCCGGCTCCAGGTGAAGGCGGGCGGCCGCTGTCCCTCCTCTCTCCGCACGCCCACGCTCCCACCGGGGCGTTCCCGGCCGCTCGGGGCTGCTGTCCTGGAGCTCCAACTTCCACAGAGCTCCCGGGGACAGCTCCCGGCACACGGGAGGGAGAGCCGAGGGGAGACAGGGAGCGGCTGCTCCCGCTCGCACGGACCCGGCACCTGCCCCCCGTCCTAAACTTCCCACCCCGAGCCCATCCTGGTCCCGGTCTTCTCTCTATTCCACCCCCTCCCTGCCCCCCATCCTGAACCCATCCTGCCCCCTCTCCTCTCCCTATCCTGCACCCCCCTCCTGCTCCTGTCCCCATCCCCATCCTACCTCTATCCTGTCCCCCCTCCTGCCCCTGTTCTGCCCCCATCATAGCCCTGTCCTGTCCCCCATTCTGTCCCTCTCCTGCCCCCAATCCCACCTCTATCCTGCCCCCTATCCGGACCCCCTCCTGCCCCCAATCCCGCCTCTATCCCGCCTCCCATCCTGCTTCCAGCCGGGCTCTCCGGGTGCTCTCCGACCGCCCCAGTCTCACACTGGAAGCCTGGCAGGAGCTGCCCCAACCCCGACCAGCCCCGGCTGAGACTCCCCAGCACACTCATTGCTCCCTCCCTCCCCCCCCGCCCTGCCTGGCAGCGAGCGCCCCGCGCCGCCTCAGCACCCAAAAAGTGTGGGGTTTAGCCCCAAAAAGCACTGCCAGCCCCCGGCGGGACCCGCCTGTCACCGGCGCCGCTCCCTCCGCGCGGTGCCTCACCTGGTGCCGGCCGGCGGCAGCGGGCCACGTCCGCGGGGCCCGGGCGGGGCGGCGGCAGCAGCAGGAGGAGGAGGAGGAGGAGGAGGAGGAGGAGGAGGAGGAGGAGGACGGAGCGTGTCCGCCGGGCCGTGCCCGTCACCGCCGCTTCCTGCCCGGCCCCGCTCGGCGCTCTGCTGCACGGCCTGGCGGGGCAGGCGGGGCAGGGCAGCGGCACCGCCCCGCGGATCGAACCGCCCGGGGCATCGGCGCTCGATTGAGCGACCCGAGCGGTCCCGGCGGGAGTTGAGGGGAAGGGGGGGGGGGTGTCTGAGGGGAAAAGGGGGGATTGGGGCGTGTAGGGGGGTCAGGGAGGTGTGTATGAGGGTCCCAGTGTCTGTAATGGGATCAGGAATATGTATCGTAGTCTCGGGGTGTCTAGTGGGATCACGGGGATATGAGGTCTCAGGGTCTGTAGTGGGATCGGGGGGTGCGTACGAGGATGTCAGGATCTGTACTGGGATAGGGTGTGTTTATGAGGGTCTCGGGGGTCTGTAGTGGGATCGGGGGAGCGTGTATGGGGGTGTCAGGCTCTTTAGTGGGATCAGGGGGGTGTGTGGGAGGGACTTGTGGACCTATAATGGTCTCAGGTGTGTGAGGGCAGCTGGGCCCCCTGTAGTAGCCTCAGGTGTGTGTGTGGAGGGATGGCAGTGCCCATAGCAGGCTCAGGTATGTGTGTATGGGGCTGTGGGGGTCATAGTGGTCTCAGGTATGTGTATGGGGGTATCAGGGTTTATAGGGGACTCAGGTGTGTGGGGCTATCAGGGTTTATAGGGGTCTCAGGTGTGTGTATGGGGGTGTCAGGGTTTATAGGGGCCTCAGGTATGTGTATGGGGGTGTCAGGGTTTATAGGGGCCTCAGGTGTGTGTAGGGGGGGTGTCAGAGTCTATAGGGGTCTCAGGTGTGTGTATGGGGCTGTCAGGGTTTATAGGGGTCTCGGGTGTGGGGGGCATTGTCAGGGTCTATAGTGGGCTCAGGTTTGTGAGAGGGACACTGTTTGGGCAGCGTAAAAGGGCAGCTCTGAGGCTTTCAGTATGTGCTGCAGGTGTTGGAGAGCCAGGACAAGGACTATGTGTCCTGTGGCAGATCCCAGCAGGAAGAGGCTCCTGGTAACCAGAGGAGCAGATGGGACTTTGCAGCAGTCAAAAGCACAAAGGAGAAGGGACTGTAGCAGGGATGGAGAGCTCTGGATTAGGAAATGCTTGGGAGTAGAGGCAGGGAAAGGTGAGTTTATGCTGTTTCTGCCACACTTTATGGTTCCCCCCAGACTCTGAACCTAGAGACACTTTATTGTTACAGAAGCTTATTTGACGGGATGGGGGGGGTGGTAATAATTTTTCTAAATAAAACTGACAGCTGTTCCCCTCTTGGGCTTCTAGAACCATCCTTACAGAGCCCTGTGAAACCAGAGGTACAGAAACCTGAGAGCCCTGAGTCCCAGGTGAGGGGTGTTGGTGTGTCCTGTACCTCAAAGGCCAAGGTACAATTTCAGCTTTTCTCATTGCAGTGCTGCAATTCACACAATAAATGAGTTTCCTGTTTATAAAGCTCAGCTTATAACCTATTTTCCCCCTCTGTTTCTTGCAAATGGAAAGAAGGGCACAGCAAGCATGACTCGTGTGTCAGCTGCTCTGTGAAAAGCTGGTGCTGACCAGGCAGGAGGCAGAAATCTCTCCTCAAAGTGAGTGTGTATAAAACACTAAATGAGTTGCGATGAGAACAACAGCTCTGATGGAGGCACGAGCCAAGAACAACAGCTTGACAGGCAATTTTACACTTTCCCTGACAGCTCCTTGGGGCGTAGACAGTTAAGTTTCTGCGTTTGTAAGGGAAACATGGCATTCCTTACAGCTGAGCCTCCTCCCTCGGGTTCCCACTGAATGCCTGAGAGATGACAGCAGAGGGTGTCTCCAGAAGGCTCCTATTAAACGGGAGGAATTAGCACGGAGGGAGCAACAGCGAGATCCCAGTTTTGACCACAGAATGAGCTAAAAAGCGTTGCATCAGCAGCTGTTTGCAGTTTCTTACCCGCTGGCTGCGCACAGCTCCTGTTCAGGGGGCTCCTGTGCCCTCCTCTTGGTACCTCCGCCCTCCTGGAGCGTGAAGGGCTGTGCTGGGAGGGTAAATCGGCTCCAAACCGAAAGTGCTGAGGCGGCGTGAGGCAGGGCAGATTCACCTTGGGAGGGCAGCCGTGGTTCAGACACACTTACAACTAGTCGGGTGTCCCCAGCATCACGAACCAGGCGGGCAGGGGAGCGGTGAGCTGAGTATGTGGACAGATGGAACAGATACAGACAGGAAATGGGGAAGGAAGGGGGGAAATTAATGTTTGTAAAGCTTTAAGGGGGCTCTGGTTAGTTCTGAGAAAGAGGTTGAGTCCTGCAGTCCAGTTTCTGTTTTTAGCTCTGTGACCGTATAACTTTGGGAAGCGATTTGAGCAGTTCGAGCCAGGTGTGAGTGGGGAGAGGACAAAACCCCGTGGGCACCAGGCAGCTCATGCGATGTGGCAGCTGCCACCACACCCTTTCCTGTTCGCCCCGCGGCCGCGGGCAGCCCTGCCAGCCGCGCTGCCTGAGTGAGGAGAGAGGGGGAAAGGAGTGCTTTCCAAAATGCTGATAACCCCCAGCACCCGGCATTCCTTGGAAAAGGAGAGGTAGTGAGCAGCTCTGGTGGTGTCTCTCCCCTCGGACAAGTCAAACGCTCCCAAAAGCCCTGGGAGCTGCTCCGGGGTGGTGCTGACTTTTGGCCGTGCCTCATCCTGGCTCCTGTTACAGGCGATGTTGACTTACGGAAAAAGGCACCGGGCATACTTGGCATGGGCGTTCCGAGTTAAAAATTGTCAGTCTGGGCAAACAGACCTTTGGGGTGAACTGCAGGAGAGCCAAGTGCCTGCACTGCGTTATGGCAGCTCTTGTCAGAACACCAGAGTGTGACCTGGTGCTGCTCTGGGTGCCGAGCGCCCGGCTCGGCGGGTTTGGAGAAGTGCTGCAGGTTTTGGAGCTCCGTCCTTTAGACCAAACCCATTTCCTTCCCCTCGGTGAGGTGCTCGTAGCGCCTCAGTGAGTCAGTAAGCTCTGCATGTGAGGAATGCACCTCACAGCTGAAGGTGAGCCATTGGTGTGGCTGTGCTGGAGGCAAGGAGACTAATTAGTCCTTCCCTTAGACTTTGAGCTGCAGAAGTAAGATAGGTGAGATATTTAGCCTGGAATATCCATGTGAGGCATTTTCAGATCCTGGTTTTAACGGTGTGAGTCTCACACAGGATCTGTGTCTTGGTCCTTAATTCTGTAGCAGTGTCTAGTCAGGAGGATAACCTGTACCTGGCAGATTTGGGGCATTCCTGATGGATTTGGGCACGTGTTCTAGGAGCTGCTGCTTACTGGCAGGGTGAAAGTGAGATCACAGTGCTGTGGTGGGGCTTTGCTGTGAGTATGGAGGAACAGGGAAGTAATTTCTGTATTAAAATATAATAAAGTTTGGGTGAGTACAAAGTGTCCTAAAAAGTCCATTCCTAGCACGGCAAGGTCCTGCTCCTTGCCTGCTGAGGAGCAGCTCTGCTGTGTGTCTGTATCACAGAATCCCAAGATGGGTCAGGCTGGGAGGGACCACAGTGGGTCACCTGGTCCAACCTCCCTGTTCAGGCAGGGGCATCCCAAAGCACATGGCATAGGATTGTGTCCAGATGGCTGGAATATCTCCAGTGAGGGTGACTCCATACCCTCTCTGGGCAACCTGTTCCTGTGCTCAGTCACCCCCACAGTGAAAAACTTCTTTGTGTTCAGGTGGAACTTCCTGGGCATCAGTTCCTGCCTGTTCCTCTTCTCCCATTGCTGAGCCTCCCCACCCTGAGCAGAGCCTGGTCCATCCCCTGACCCCTCCCTGCACACACTGACAGACATGGACGGGACCCCCTCTCAGTTGTCTCTTCTCGAGGCTGAGCAGGCCCAGCTCACAGAATCATCAAGGTTGGAAGAGACCTTTAAGATCATCAAGTCCAACCATTCACCCAGCAATGCTACTATAACCCCTGAACCACTACAATCGTATCACCCAGTGCCAGACCCAGATGCCTCTTGAACACCTCCAGGGATGGTGACTCCACCACCTCCCTGAGCAACCTATTCCAGTGCCTGATTGCCCTAAGAGTGAAATTTTTTTTCTAATATCTGACCTAAATCTCCTCTGTCTTAGATTAAGGCCATTTACTCTGGTCCTCTCACTGCAGGCACGATAGAAAAGACTGTCCCCCGCCTCACTACAGCCTCCTTTCAGGCAGTTGTAGAGACCCATGAGAGCTCCCTCAGCCTCTCCTCCTAACAGAGATGCTCCAGTCCCTGGATCAACTTTCACCCTCCACTGGGCTCGCTCCAGGACCCCCATGTATCTCGTCCCGAGAAGCCCAGAATCCTGCAACACAAGTGCCCCAAAAGGGAGGCGAACCATAAAAAGTAGAGAAGTAAAACCCTCAACCACCGCGGTGCTGGCGGGGCGGGGACTCGAACCCGCGTCCCTCCCTCCGCGCCTCGCGCTGCCCGGGCGGGGGCGCGGCGGCCCCGGCGCCGCCCGGAAGCGGAAGTGCCGCGGCCGCGGTTCCCGGCGCGGTTGCCGAGCGGCGGCCGCTCCGCCCGGTCCGTCCCGGCCGCTGCCGCTCCCGGAGCCCCCCGCGGCCATGAGCGCGGCCGGGCTCGTGTCCGCCCCTCCCGCCGCCCCGCCGGGGCCGCCCGCCCCCGCCATGGCCCCCGCGCCCGACTACTACGAGGAGGAGGAGCTGGAGAGCGCCGAGGAGGAGGACGGCGAGCGCAGCGCCCGGGCCCGCGACTCCGATGAGGGTGAGTGAGGGTTTGGTGCCCTGGGACGGCGTGGGAGGGTGGGATGGAGAAGGGGACACGCCCTGGCCGGGAGGATGCGGGAGGGTTGGGTGGTTAAAGGCTCTGGAGCAGCGAGAACGCCCGAGGAAAACAAGGACCTGTCGGGTTGCAGGGGTACCCCGTGGAAGAGTAGGACAGCCGAGTCCATGGAGAGGTGGAGCTGTGGTTTTCCGGGTGAGGAGGAGGGAGACGGGAGGGCGCTGAGCAGGGGGGATTGAGTGGGACAGCAGGGGGAAAATAGTGGAGAAACCCAGTGTATTGATTGAGTGGGGCAGCAAGGGGGGAAACTGGGGAAATTCAGTGTTAATTGTGTGAGATAGCAGGCTGAAAATAGTGGAGAAATGCAGTGTATTGATGGAGCGGGGCAGCAGGGGGGAAAATAGTGGAGAAATCTCGTATACTGGTTCTATTTCTGTGGTGTGAAGGGGGAAGGAGGCAACTAAGGGAGGAGAAAGTGTGGACAGCAGTGAGGAGTGTGGGAGGATGTGAGAGGGAAGAGGAGATTTGTAGAGGAGAAGAAGAAATGAACTAAAACACGAAGTACCCAGGGGTGTAGGGTGCATAAAATAACAAATAAGGGAGATGGAGGAAGACCCTTGGACAGTGCCTGTTGCTGTCAGCAGAGCCCTCCATCACCTCTGCTGTGGTCATGGATGGGGGATGTTAAAGATCCTGACAGTGTTTGGGTCACTCAGGGCTCTCCAAGGCTACACACAACTAAATTGGGCATGGGAGTTCTTTATGGTGACCCAGACGTCTTAAGTGCTTTTCTTGCAGTTAAAACTTTTTGGTTTATCTTTGGTGTGAGCTTAAACCGTTGGTAGGTTTAGAAAAAAAATCTGAGAAAGGTTTGATTTAAGGGTCTGGGCCCCCTTCCCTGTGTGGGGAATGTAACTGTGATTAAGTTTCACAGCTGTGCCCTGTAAAACCTGGAGACACTGAGCTCTCCTTGGGGAGGAAATCTGATGGATTCTTGGCTACCCATGTGTTATAAACAGAAGCCTGAAAATGCTCTAGCAGAAAACTAGCAGCCCCATAGTGGTTTAATTTGTTTATGTTACCTGTTTATAAAGTGGAGCTGTTTTTGTGGCAGTGCTGGTGTTTGTTCTTAAACATTGAAGTGCTTCTGAGTGATGGGTAGCTTTGAAGTTCAGGTCACAGCAAGTAACTGTTCTCTTCAGTGAGACCTTTGTGATCAACCTGAGCAGCTTTGAGTGGGTGGAACTGTAGTGACAAGCTTGTGAAAGGTCTTACAGAGTCTTTCCTGTCTCACCTGTGTATGTGGGACCATTAATGCAGAGCCTGTTGTCTTAAATGGGAAGAAATTCCCAGGCTCTCTGAAGTTGGAGTTGTTCAGACCTGATGTAAAGCTTCACTGCAAAACTCCCAGTTGCAGGAAGGAGATGAGAGGGTTTGTTCCACCCCTGAGTTCATCTCTGCAGAGGCCCCTCAGGTTGTGTCTTTGAGGTTAAATTGCCTGAAGTTTGGGGATTGGTTTTGTGTTTGCTTGTTTCCATGTTTTTAAATATTTTTTTTTTTTAATCTTTAACTTTAACAAGTTAGTTTTTACCTCCTTTAGACACCGAGGATGCCAGTGAGACTGACCTGGCCAAGCATGACGAGGAGGACTTTGTAGAAATGAAAGAACAGTAAGTAACCCACACTAATCCAAAGTAAGGTAATATTCTGTTTATTTGTGGGTTTGGGGATGTTATTTTCACAAAACTGCAGAGTTTTGAGCCAGGATTGGGGTTTTTTAAATGCCTAGCCCAATGGAATAGCTCATAAGACCATATACTTGTATTTCTGCTCTTCTCAGTTACTTTCTCTGGTCTGTGTGTATTCAAGGAATTAAGTGCTGCTGCTGTTTTGGTTAAAGAAATAATTATGACTTTTGAGTTTTGCTGCAAATGGCTCCTGCTGCTTTAAATAACACAAAGGATCTGCTTTACATAAGCTAAGAAAAAGCAAGATGCCTCTCAAAATCCCTTAAACAGTGGAATGCTAGTCCTGTCCCAGAAATGGGCTTTTTGGAGACTGGCAGTAGTTTCCTGTGATGTTTAGGAGTATTTGCAGTATTTTGAGTTCTTGCTTACTGGAAGTGACGTGTTCTTATACAGGCCAGGAAGGCTTGGCCTGTGTTAAACCACAGATATGTGGTAAAGGAAATGTAGGTGTGCAGCAGAACCAGGAACAGACTTTGGGGTTTTTTTTTTAATAATGTCAAGATCTACGTGAGGAGATGCCTTGTGTTACATGTAGGGAGCTAATATACAAATAGTAAGACTTGGCCAAGTGGCAGAATGATTCTGCTGTAAATTTGTGGATCTAAATGTCATTTAAGATATTAACATTAATAAATACCAATTCTGTTTTATCGTGAATTGTTCCCAAAATATTTGGTTCATAAAACCAGTGGGGTGGCAGAGGGTTTGTTTTTTTTTTTAGACAGAATGAAAACCTTTGAATTTGAATAAAATTCTTTTAATTCATCATTCGTTTGTTTCCTGAAGTTCTGAAAAGTTCTTAATTCTGTGTCAACGTGTTGTAACCTAAAGAGATGGTGGAATAGGCTCTGTATGCTTGGTTTGCAAAGTCAAGTTTCATGCTGACTGTCTTTGCAGGATGTATCAGGACAAACTGGCATCTCTGAAGAGGCAGTTGCAGCAATTGCAGGAAGGTAAACTTTGAAGGGGGACTTTTTTATATTCCTAGACAATTTTCAAATGCCATGGAAGGATGGGGGTGTTGGAAGATGGAGGCTGCATCCTTCACTGCATGTGGGCTCTCAGCTGTGCTGCTGAGTTAAAAATGTCAGCCACTTCCATCCTTTTCCCCTCTAAACACTTGGTGTTAATCCTCTGTGTGCTAAAGCATTTCTTAAAAGGAGTAATCCACTTTCTGAAGAAGCAGGGAATATGCTTTTTCAAATTAACAAGATAGAACTGTAATTTTCTGATCTCAGATTTTAGTGTTTGTGCTTCAAGTGGTGCATGGCTCCTTTAGAAAATTTAATATTTGGGGGAAAAAAAAAATCAGTGGGAATCTACAGTTTATTTCCACTCCAGGTACTCTTCAGGAATACCAGAAAAGAATGAAGAAGTTGGACCAGCAGTACAAAGAAAGGATACGAAATGCAGGTAAGTGGAATTTCTCTGTAAGACACTGCATCCAACTTAAATTTATGGTTTTTAAAACACCTGAAGAAAGAAAGTGGTAATTATGTGCTTTAAAGAAAAGGAATCTGCTGGAGCCAAGGGTTCTTCTGCTTCCAAGGGTGTAGTAGGTACAGTGTGAGTTGTTTCAGATTCTACCAAGCATGACAGGATCTATCTTGATTATTTTTTTTTCCCCCTCATCAGCATTGTTTTCTGACTGATACTAAACACTAATAAACAGTTTTAGTCTTCATTTGTGTGAAACAGCACAAGTAAAAACAGTTATTTAGTTTTTATCTGCCTAACCCCCAGGCTCCCATTTTGGCTTGTTGTTTTGTGCCACTTGCTGAAGGTGTTGGGTGCCCTGTTCCCTTCGGTTTGCAGGACTGGAATTTAGGTGCACATGCTTTCCCAGAGATCTGTTTTGTGCCCCAGAACAACGAATACAGAGGGTTTGCT